AGAAAGAAAGAAAGAAAGAAAGAAAGAAAGAAAGAAAGAAAGAAAGAAAGAAAGAAAGAAAGAAAGAAAGAAAGAAAGAAAGAAAGAAAGAAAGAAAGATAGATTCTATTTACTTTTTTAATAAGTTTTCAACCAGGCCTTATGGTGAGGAGAGTAAGCATGCCAAAAGGCTCCCAGAAAAATCTACCATAATTAAAAACCAATGTCTCAGCCCTGAAGAAGACAAACTGGAAAGTTTTTCCTCTTGAAGAAGTCAGTTCTTGCTGCCATGTGTGTTTTTGTGGAAATACCAAAGTCCAAGGACCTGCCTCTATGTACACTATACAATCCTGTAAAAATCTGTTTAAAGATAAAAAGTCTTTAAAATCCATTACTTTTTATGTATTTTAAATGAGGAAGTTATGCTATTTAAAATAACAATGGGATGATTAGTGCATTACTGATCTCTTGGAATAAAACTCACTTGTTCCATGATCTCACTATACAAGCTTTGAATTTTCCCTTTCTATCAGAAAGAATAGTACTCACTGTGCAATAATTTCCCTATATCTATTACTTTTCTTGGTGTTCTACCTGTGGCTTAATTTGGACCTTAATGATGAGATACTAGGAAGAAAAAAAAAAAAAAATTGTGAACATTCCAATCTTCCTAATAACAAAAGCACCAAAATCCTTGAATCAAACTGTTACTTTATATGCCACCAATTTCCCAGTAGCCCTATTTCTCAATCAGGATTTGAATAATCTTTACAATTTGTATTCCCCAAAACTCAAATTTAATGAGTTAGTAGGTATAGAAAGAGAAATAACAGCTGCAGCTTATCCCGCTGTGCTATTCAGTAATGACAATGTTATACCACATTAGCAATTGTGACATTAATAAAAAGAAGCCCATAGGATTAGCCAGAGACAGCTGACTTTAGTCAAATGTAGGTCATGCTTTGTTTGCTCAGAGCTGGGTAATAAATTTCCAGGTAAGTGCTCTCATGTGTCATACATATATGCCAGGAGCATAATTTCGGCTATACTAAATGATCCACATTCTTAAATTTCTGTAAGCCCTTCTTGAATTATTGTTAAGCATTTAATTCCACAGCAGCATCTTACAGGCTACTTAGAGTTATTAACTCATATGACATTATGGCATGTTTTCTTTCTAGTGGCAGTTAATAGCATCTTGATCTGGTTTCCCTTTCACCTTAAGGTAACTGCAACTCTGAATTGCCAGTATTTAACAAAAGATACTTAGCAAGGAATCAAACTGACTACATTCTGCAGCTCTAGCTAAAGGGGAAAACAGTATTTGGAATCAATCCAAGCAGCAGCAAGATATCTTCTACCACAGAAGGGAGGCTTTAAAAAATATTTAAAGGAAATAAAAGCATAGCCTTCAATTAATAGTACAAAAGATCCTATCTCAATCTCTGCTACTTTGGCAAGCCCTCAAAATTTGGATTGAAAGCAGACTTTTAAACATATTCATATTTAATCTCAGCACAAGATGTGCGTATTGTACACCAAAACCTTAAAGACCAAATCCTGTGTTCAGTAATACCCTGGCAGACTTCAGTGCAAAAGGGTGAGAGCACTACAGCAGAAGCTGACCTTGAGGCTGTAATCTCACTTTCACTTTTTTTTTTCTTTTTTAATATTATTGTAATAATGAGAGGCACCCAGGCACCCAACAAGACCAGGAGATTTTTGTACACGGACCATCCTGAGATGCAGAACAGAGAAGGGAACTCTAGTTGAGCTCAAATCATACCTTGTTACAGATGGGAGACTGATCCACAGGAAGGCTAAAATGACAGATTCCACCCAAGTCTCTTGTCTAGGGGTTGCTATGGCTTCAGTCAGCCACTTGTCCCTAATTTTAGGGGCACCAAGCTCTCTCTCACAGTCTGGGTGTCACAGGGACTGGCTCAGTTGTGTCTGTCTCATGTGAACTGGTACAAGTTCCACTTAGGGGGATCCATGGCTGTGCCTTAGCTCACGTATCAAGGTAGTGCCTTGTCACCTTATTTATATTTAATTAGTCCAATCGTTTCTGAGCAACAGTAGTTAATGCTTTGACTCTCTTCTATTTTTACCCATGTCTTTGCTAAAAATGTATTTACACATCAGCCAGTCTTTGGGGACTTCTGAAGCATGTCAAGGGGAAGAGCTGACATAGCTACAATTCAGTTGATTTTGTTTGGTTGTTTTAATGGCATATATTCTTGAAATAGAAAAGAAAGTCCAGGTAAATTGTTTCTTCCTTAGTGATTTAGAAATCTTGAAATAAAAAAGATTTTGTGTTTGTGTGTAGGGAACTACAATGAGAAGACTTTACAGTCTTTCAGTACAATCCATCAAGTACCAGTTTCTTCAAAGCAATATTTTACTGATCTCTTTCTTGAAGGCTGCAGTTGCATCTTTATTATCCTTCATTGTTATTGGTGAGGCAAAATGCCATAGCTATGTTTGAGGCAAAAGAAATTCCTTCTGTGAGAGGCAACAATTTCCAGCAGATCCTGAACACTTTTGTGCTTGACTTCAATGAAGTAAAGGTGGTCAGCATTCTGTAACAAGTCTGTGTATTATTATGTAGTAGGAATATAGGGTGGGGAATGGGAAGGGGAAGGATCCACAACACACACAAGGAAAAAAAAATAGGAGGAAAAATAACAGTCTGAAAAACAAATAATAGGATAATAGGAGTAAATTTGTGTGAGGGTCAGAACCATGCAAATCCACTAAGCATTGCATACATATGTCATCCCAGAGCAGCACTGGCCAGGCTGCCTTTTGTTGCTGATTTCTACCTGCTTTGCAGAAGGACAGAGAAGCCAGCTGAACAGCACTCAGCCCTTCATACTTATTAGGCAGATGAAGCTCCCTCACATGCATAAAAATGCACAAACCACGCACAGAAACATCCTCTCACAGAAAATGGTTTTAGCAAAATAAAATAATGTAACGAAAATATTTTGTCTGAAATTGTCTATATTTTTTCTCAAAATACAAATGAAGCACTTTCAGTGAGATAAGAAAAAAATAAACAGATCACGTTTAAATAAGTGGGGGAGGTGGGGTTTCATTTTTCTTTTTTCTTTTTTCTTTTTTTTTTTTTTTTTTGCAAAGAGTAAAACAAAGAAGACCTTTTGGTGGGAAAAATCAATCCCTTCACTGATGGGCTGGCTGTCTCCCTGTCTGCACAGGCTGATGCTCCTTTGTTCCCAGCTCTGTTCCCCAGCCTTCCAGCTGAGCTGGTGCCTCAGAGGATGCCTCCTGGCTCCCTCCCACAGAGCACAGCCCAGAAAGGCAGCTCACTGCCCGCCCTCCTCACCCGTATTGTGGATCACATCTCAGACTCCTCTTCCCACAGGATGCAATGCTAGCAAAAGCAGGACTTCCCAAAAACTCATATTCCCTCTTCTTCCCTGCCTTAAAAATATCAAAGAGAGTATTTTGCTTTTAATTCAGGGGTTGGTTTTTTCTCCATCTTAGAGCCAATCAAAGACACAGCACAACAGCACGATCAGGGTGACAGGCAAGAAATGAGTCTTCCTCCCCAAATGATTTGCAGTGGCAACCTTTGTTTGGGATAAAAGCTTGAGGCTTATAAGTGCAGCAAGGCCAAAGGAAGGAAGTTATTTCACACAAGCAGAGCATGTGGCTCATTAGAGCTGTGGAATAATAGGGATTTTCAGCATAGGTGATAGGATGTTCAGCAAGGAGGAAGCTGGATGTAGGGTCCTCTCCCTGCCCCAGCCCACAGCAGCTCCAAGTTGTCTTTCTCCCTAGCACAGCCTCAGTAGCACTGGGCTCCATGCAGTCTCCTCAGGGCTATGCACTCATTTCTGTCCCTAATCTCTTACCCATCTTTCCCAGGCTGTCCCACACACACTGACATGGGAGGCCATCCGTGGGGCTGGGGCACACTGCTGCAGCTGGGGCCCCTCTCAGGGCACCTAGGGCCACCCCAGCATTACCATCAACAACAGGCACTCACCCCCCACAAACCTCTCCCCACTTAATTACACCTTTCCTTTTCAAGCCCAAAATTCTGTTTGTGCTAGCACAGTTGTAGGGCTGAAAGCCCTCTCAGGCAGCTCGATGGAAATGATGCTCAGCAGAGCCAAATTCTCTGTAAGAACACCCAAAGCTACATTAAACAGCCCGGGAAAGGCACAGACAAGCACTAAAAGAAATTTAAATAATCCAGCCTCCCTCTGCTGCTGTGTTGACAGGTACAAACAGGCTACAGACAGGAGGTGCAGTGCTGCAGCCTGTCCTCTGTAGCTGTGGACAGAGTGTAACCCTTGCTTTATGTCTCAAACCAATGTACAAATACCAACAGGATTTTCCTAAGGCAAGCATTCATAGCTGCACAGATGAACAGTAGGATTTTGCTTTTAAAAGAAAAGACAAAAGCAGGGAGGAATTCCTGCCAGTGTTTCAGCCTGGGCATTCAGGTGACTTGGGAATCCCTCCTGAATTTGTGATACGCACTTTGGCACTTATGTTCAAAGTCCCTCAAATACCAAGAATAAAAAGAGTAGACAAAGGACAACACCAGGCAAAATAATTTCCAACTTCTAAACCAAATACCATCTGTAAAATATCTTTCTGTATGAGTGAGAAGAAATAAAATAATGATTTATTCAACAATTATGAGGATGAGATGTGTATCAACTACACATTTGATTGATGCCAAGTCTCAAAAACCATAAGCTCTTCTCTCCTTTCCTCGAAATAATGAGAAATGGCTGAAGATACTACAAATAAACTATTTGCAATCAGATTTCCAAATAATTAGTTCACGCTGTTACTATTGAAACCACTTGTGCATTGCTGGAAGGACAGATATCTGAGGAGAAAATGGAAAACAGAGGATTAAAAAAAATCCCCAGGTAATTACAGGGAACTGTGATTTAGGCTTCATCATCAGGACTTACCCATTTACAAGCTGCAGGGCCATTCCTAAAAAAAAAAAAAAAAAAAATCTGTCACTGGAAAAACAGGCATTGTTACATGCAACCTATGGTACATGCCAGACTCCCTGACATCAAATTTCAGTTACCTAAGGTAATGTTGGTGTAGTACCCTTAATTATCAGTCAAATTACCCCTACATGAAAAAACATAAGGGTGAGAGAGACAAGGAACTTGTCAGGGACATTCAGGCAGCAGCCTAAGGTGGCCTAAGAGCTCTGACACCCAGACAGTCCTGGCTGAAAGCAGCAGATAAACTCTTCTTGCAGTTAGTTGCTCATGATGTTGGTACATTAAATCTATCTATGGAAAAATAAAATGATTAAGCAAAAAAAGGTTAACATTTATCTCCAGTAAATTTAAAGAGATCTGTCTTCTCAAAAGAGTTAAGAAAAATAGCAAATGGGGATTGGTGACTGAATTCTCTACTCATCTCCAAATAAAAAAGTTTCAGTGGATTTTGGTAAAACACCAGGGAAACACCTGAGAGTCAAACTCAGTCCTAAAAGCACAAGATTCAAAGAAAAGCCCACAAATTGCATGTATTTGTTGAAAGCACCAAATTAAAGGCTGCAAATAAACCAAAACTAAAGCTAATTGGAAATCAGATGTTGTACCCATTACCATTAAGTGGTATCAAATATGATCAATATGCTTATGTTACTATTAAAAGCCTGTGGTAGGCATTAAAACAATTATGCAAAAAAACTGCTCTAAGAAATCCTTAGACAAGAACCATGAGAAAAGGTAAGAAAAGGTAACACTAAATTTCAGGGAAAAAATCCAAACAAATGCTCTCAAAAACTAGAGAGTCTGAAGAAAAAGTAACTATTATGTCTACTGCCTGTCCAAATCCTGCTTGTGAATAACACTTTTATTCCCACCGACACACACACAAGTCTTGGGAGGTTGATGAAGGAAAGAAGAAACACAGCTACTATCCTGGAAAGCAGAGAAAAGGAGGGATGTCCTGTTCCAAGACAGGACAAGGGCAAGTGAGGCAGAAATTACAAAGAAAGAAAATATTCTTCTTCAGCTTTACCAGATGCACAGTCTCCACCTTGACTGCTAGTCTCCTGAGTCTGCTACACTTTCCATACGTGTGCTTTATGGGATTCAGGTGTGGAAACAAGGGAGGAAAAAACCTCTGCTTTGAGGAATGCATACCAGTGGCTTGCTAATGACAGATGAGGCCCAGTACTGCATTTGATTGGCATCATTCCCAGCCACCAATGTCTGAAGGTACCCAAATCAATTCTCACTGTGGAATCCTGCTGAGGACAAGCAGAGCACCAAGGCTCAGCAGAACTGGTCGCAGGGACAAAACCAGTAGGAATTTTAAAAGGATGGGAAAACGGATGTGTATAAGCCAGGCAAATCTGTGGCACACTGATTTATAGGGATTTGTTAGCATGTCAAACAAAGGCTGGTAATTTGTTGGCTGATTGGAAAAGAAGAGTAGGAAGCTTTAAGCCATAAAAGCGTAAATGGTCACTGCAAACACACACATACACAAAAAAAAAGACTGTCCTATTTCCCTAGTTTTGTAGTAATTTGTGTAACCTCTCTAAAATTCCTGGGGACCTAAATATAATTATATGCCTTGGGAATGAATTTGGACAACAGTTACCAGATAATACCTGGTGTGGCTTCCAGTTTAGCACACAGCTTAAAAGTCAGATGTGGGAGAGGAAAGCCATATTTCTGGGGGTATTGCAGCAATAATTTACAATTTCCAACAAAAATTATAAAATATAATTCAGGGAGACTCCTTGATCATTAAAATCTTATGTACAGTGATGGTAGTTGGTTAAGCTGGGTACAAAATCAATGGGAAATGACAAGAGGGAAGAAGACTCATCTTGCTCATCTCAGGCACACACAGATATTTTTCATATCTTCAGTACAAACCAGAACTGCTGCTGTAAGATGGCTCTAAATATGAGCTGCTCTGCTGTTGTCCTGCAATACCAGCTCCTCCAGCACAATGCCTGGAATCGTTTCTGCACAAAGTGTCACCACAGCTGCTGCTGTATATTTGGCTTGAAGTTCCACCTCTAGGGAAACCCATGCCAAACTATTTATAATAATGGGCTGCAATTTATGTGAAATGACTTTGTACCCTTCCTACATGAGAAAGATTCAGCATACCAGTCTATTCATTAATGCCTCATTAGTTTAAAGGTTCCTTTATAAAGCAATAATACAGGTACTTCGCTTCTCTATGGTGTCGTTCTGCAAAGAGTGTCAAAATGTTTTCTAAACGTAACCAAATATTTAACAGCCTCCAAAATCAGTGTGGAAGATGGGAAAAGATTATTATGTCTGTACCTAGTATACTTTCATATTACTGATAAAAGGAGGCATTTAATAGTCAAAAGCCTCTGAGTCCCTACCAGGGCTCTCCATCCTGGCTTTCACCTTGCACTGCTCCTGCAAAGAAGAGAGAGAAAGGTACGTCACAGGCAGAGCTGTACACAAAATTCAAGAAGAAAAGCTCACTCTGTCTGGGGAATCAATCTCATCAGTGTAAAAACTGTGTGGAATGCTCTGCCCTGTGTGTGGGCTGTGCAGCCAGGGTTTCTTATTTGTGTACTCAATGGATGGCTTGAAAAATATTACAAGAAAGTTACAATAAAATCTCAAAAAAATACACAAGTTCAAGTCTACAAAGTACTTAAGCAAGAGATTAGCTTCCAGCATAGGAGGAATCAAAAACAATGCAATGTAACCTGTTTTGCCAAGTCAGAGGGTAAAGCAAGAATTTGTTCTCTTATTTAATGTCTGATGGGCGACAGTAAAGGCTGCCACACAGACACACAAAGTTCACTTTTCACTGTATCATCTACCTGAAAGTGACCAAATTTAGACTCTCTCTCTCTCAGCTATGAACTCTGTTCTTTGATAGAGGTCATCCCCAGCTCCACATTTTTGAATGCTGATGCAGTTTGAGTGTTGCCAATTTTCCTGAAATCTTAGAACAAATTGCTCTCTGTGCTGCCCATCTCTTTCAGTTTTTCCTCCAAGGAATACTGGAGGCTGGTAATAGGAACTTCTGGATGGAAACAAGCAGGGAGTATAGCAAATCTCCACTCTTCAGCCCAAAGGTAGCCCGAGAACTTAACACTGCTTATTTTTATTCATGCTAAAATAAAGTGGACCACTCAACAACCTAGTTTCTGTGAGCCAGACAGCCCTGCTGAGCAAATTCACAGCTATCTAATTCAAATCACATATTTTCTCAAAGCCTGCCAGTGATCTCCTACTGAAGCTACAGAATATCTTGGTTCATCTTTGTCTCAAACTGACAATGATAGCTCAAGCTGAGCAGATGGTCATTTTTCTAGTCAGGAGATTTCTTATGACATTCCTTCAACCACATATCTAAGATACTTCCTGCTCTTTCATTCACAAGATCTTGATTTCTCTCTCTCTGAAGGTGATATTTTCATCCTTGGCACCTTCTGAAATTAGATAAGCAATCTTCTCTGTTTATTTGCTGTAGTGTACCTAATTTGCTGGCAGACAAAACCCAAAGTAGCCAAAACCAAAAAAGCAATCCTACTTCTGCCATAGCTAGCTCTTTCCTGTGTAATTTATCTCTGTCTTACACACACCCAAAACTCACCCCACTTTGGGTGGATGATTGAAATGATTAATCCAGTGCTTAAGCTGAAGGTATGAGGAGACCTGGGCCATCTGTAAAGATCACCAGGAATCTGCTGCAAGCCTACATTTTGACAATATGCATGTTCCTGACAGCTTAGATAATTGAACACTGCATACAGGCATCTTCCCTAGGGGGTGTGCTGCAGAAAGGAAAAATACAGCCCCAGACTGTAAACCCTGCCAAGTACAAAGCCCTCCACTCATCCATTACTCCACCTTGTCCAATTCTCCACCGCCTCCTCACAGGCAGAGGAGAAAAATCCTTGGAGGAATATTAAAATCCACAGCTTAACTCTGAATCATCATCCCAGAACTTCTTTCCCTAAATAGGTAGCTACGGACGGGTTTTGTTAATTATGTTGTTCCCAGCCAACAAATATGTGACACGTTCCCCATGACCACCACTGACCACAGGACACTCTATCACTCAGCAGCTTCATGAAGGCAATGAGGAATTTGATCTTCTGTGTAACAAAGTCTCCAGACAATCTCAGCCTCCCCACAGCAGAACATAGTTGAAAGGTTTGTGCTCGCAATACAAAAACACAGTTAGTTTTTCCACCTAGCAAACTGTACTGTAAGTAGTATATCGCATTTTTGCAAAATTGTCCATAAGCCATTCTCAGTTCCCAACTCACTAAAGTTTATAAAACACATGCTAAGCCCCATTTATTTTGCTGGAAGCAATCCCATGTTTTCAGCTAGTGATATTGCCAAATGCAGGTATTCAGAAGTCTTGAGTAAAGCACTACGTTCCAAAGTAATAGGTCAGTATTTTCTTAAAGATATTATTTTCCCTTGGACTCATTTTCCAACTGTAGTCCAGAGCCACAAGGACTACAAAACTGGGTTTAAGCTTAAAGATTTGAATCTCTTCTAACAGAGCTGAAGCCTTAAGATCAACACAAAACAGATGAGAGATGGCAATGCTGAGTTAGATAGGCACATGCTTAAGTGATTTGTTTTGTTTCCTTCTTGAAGGGAAGGGCTTTGGAGGAGAGGAGGTCAGAACTTTAACCTCCAACTCTTTCACCTTTGAATCCTTACTCAAAAGCTTCCAAGAAGGAAAAAGGACTTTGCAGCATGTCTGGGCATTTAACAAATCCAGGCTCTGGTTAATCAAATAGAGAAGCCCTAGGGCTGTACTAATTCCTAGACCCAATGAGGCCCCTCAGAATAGAAGGAAACTGTGAGCATAATAGGTAGCAGAGCTGCTTGAGTTCATTTACATGACATATCCCTGGCTCCTAAGCTATTCTAAGGCTCCTAAGTGAATAGCCAAAAGGAGGTTTTCCCCACCCAAAACACTGATCTGCTCCA